TGAACTAGGTGAATTCTTTGGTGTGTTTAACTTTTTTTTTTTTTTTTGCTACATATTAATTACTAAAATTGATAAACTAATTATCTTGTTTCATAACATTGATTTATGTCTTCCTTTTCAAGTTATGACTAATGATATTCTCCCATTACTCTCATTCTTTACTATGATAATTATCATTGTTTAAAAGTCAAGTTACCACAATGCAAGTAACTTGCATAATGATGAGACATTGAAGTGGTGGAGAGAAATACAGGAAATTCTAATACCCATACAAATTTGTAATCCTTGATGCTTATTATAGCTCTTTACCTTTTCAAATAAGGGTCAAGGGCACAAATTTTCTGGTCTCCGTTCATAATTAAGCATAAAGTTTGGTGTACATGTGTTTCTCCACAATTCTCTACAAGTTAGAAATAAAATATTCATATAACTTGGACTTGCACCAAACAAAATTATTCGTGATTGATCCTTGATAAATGACAACCCCTTGGAATGTCAAAGTGATTTGATTAAGTTTAGAGGGAATTTGTCTCACTTAATTGACCTTTGCTCTTACAAATAACTTGGATTTAATTTTAGGGCAATTCATCATGGAATTTTTTAGCACAAAAGAAAAAAACCATTTTTATTTTGTGGGTTTTACATGTAAGTGTCCATTAATTTTGATGGGTTGGATACAATTTTTATTTTCATATATAAAAGAAGAAAACAAAATTCCATATATTGAATTCATAACTATTCTCAAAATGAAATTAAACTTCTTATAACCGTGGACCAGTTTTTAGTGTACAAGATAAACAAGGGAGACACTAACTACTCTATCAAGTAATAAACACAAACTAATTAGCAAGGAGAAGAAAATTCATTTTTGCTAGAGGATTAGGTAAATTGCAAAAAGAAGAATCATGGATGTCCCTAAACATAGCAAGAGGATCAGCACACTGAATAGTCTAACAAAACATGTAACAAATAACTAATGATCTGGTTTGGCTAAAAGGTGCTAAACTAGTCAGCAACTAAAAAACTAGGACAATTTAAAAATTTGAATAAAAAGCTGCAATCTTGCAAAAAAGTTAGCTGCTTCTGCTATTTTTTACTACCCAATCAATATCCTACTCATTTTTCCGTGTTTTCTAATTCAAAATTTGTCTACTTGTTTGTATATTATACTCATGTCTTTTTATAGAGTCAGCACCCAAATGGAAAGTTCTAAATATAAAAAGCCAAGATTGAATTTTTACTACAGAAAACTCGTATCATTCATTACATTATGTGCCAGCCACCTAACCCAGTAGCTAAGTTGCATGTTCTTTCAATGCCCTTTTGAAGACTAAAATTAAAGTTCCCTTATCTTGTTTTCTAAATGTTTTAATACGCCATAATTCTTGCTACTAGTTTCCTCCCTTACCAATCACTAATTTCTTAATACTTATTTTTCATTCCATTCATGTGATGACATTGATTAAATTAACATAAGGTTTTTGAGTAATTAAATTCAATGGAGAATCAAATCTGAATAAGATTTGTCTGTGTGGCCTTCTTCTGTCCATGTTTGTCGTCTCTCTTGCAGTTGTTTTGGTGATATATGTCTTTGTTCTCTGCTTCCAATGAGAAGGAAATCAATACAAAATGAAGCATAATAACTCTTGTTCCCCAATTAATGGACCCAATAATAGAATAAGCCCAAGTTATAAAAAAGTTTGGGTGACTCATAATTTTTATACCCTTTGTTGAGGGTGTGATCTGAGGCTTAGTAACAATTATATATGTGGAGCTTCTAAAACAAGCACTCCAACAATGCAAGCAACTTCAGAAATAGAAGGAGAAAAGCTGGTTGGTAGAGATGCCCCATGAGACCCACTCACTTGGTCTTTGACAGAAACAAACACAGAAAGAAGACAGACAAGAAGGTCCCTTTGGTTTCATATGTTTGTAAATTAAAGAGACAGCACATGGCATCTTCCTTTCTTATTTTTCTCACTTTTTTCTCTTTTTGTTCCTACATTTTTGCACTTTGCTCCCATCACTGAACTTAGTCTTGATGATGCCCTAAAATTATTTGTTAATTCTATTTCTAGTGTAAAAGTTGATAAGGAGTAAGATGAGATCAAATTTTGTGTGTCTCCAAATGGTTGCATATATACAATATTTTTAAAGATTGTGTATTTGTTTGGTTTTTGCGCAACCGTTATTGTGTCCCAGGTTCAGATTCTTTGGCATTCCCTAAGTCCTTGCATTGCTAAAAGATTTATGATGCCTAATGTGAATTGGAAGTTGAGATTTACATGTTCATTAATTTTAGTTTAGCCTTAAAAGAAATTTTATTAACATGCTTTTTAATATGTTTTTTATTATTAACTAAAATTTATTAAAATTTTATAAAAATTATGTAGATTTTATTTTATATTTTTATAATTTTTAATAAATTTGGTCTTCTAAGATTTTTACAGTGAATTTTTTTACTTGAAAATCTCAAATTTTCAATCTAAATATTTTGGAGAGTTTGTAATGAAATTAGAACATTACATAGTTTTAAAACTTTAAAAGTAAAAAATTTAATAAAATTTTAAAAAATATATAAATTATGAGATTGATATCTGAACAGGAAATATTTTAAATTTTTTTATCGTAAGTGAAAGTTAATATTATAGTAATTAGTTATAAAACAATAATTTAATTGATTTAATTTATAAAACAATAAAAAAAATATAAAAGTTTTAAGTAAAATAAATTAAGAGGATGTTAAATTCATTAAATATTGAAAATTGATTAACTCAAAATAATAAAAAACTAAAATTACATATTATTTTTAAAAACTAAAAAATGCAATTAAGCTTTAGTTTATTTTTCTCTTGAATACAGACATACGTGTGTCACGTTGTAATTATGTTCTAGAGATGCTATCAGTACTTAGGACAGTAAATCGTCTTTATTTTAGAGACTTGTGCACATGTCCATTAAAATAAAATAACCTAAAATTTGAAGTACTAGAATGTTGTTTGTATAGTCACATTCTCAATAGTCAATAAACATGTCTGCTGTTAATTTGAGGGAATTTTTATATTAAATGCTTCGAACGAACTAATTTTATTTGATAAACTATAATCTCAATTATTGGTTTTGTCGTATGACAAGATTTCAGCTTGACCACTAACTATTTATTAATAAACTTACAGTACACATCCTTGCCAAATATAACACACGGTAGGCTCAAGTAACATTTATGAACAAACAAATAACCAAACACATCTTTGCACAATTTAAGGAGAGCTGCTCACAAACAAAACGGGAAAAACTCGAATAAAGCAATTCTCCAAATCCAATAATTATATTTCTACACTGTTTTTTTTATTATATTATTCTATTTCAAGATCATTTAAAAAATTATAAAGACTTTTATAATTTAGATTTAAGAGGGTCGAAGATGAAATAAACTTCTCTTTCTTTGTTAGATAATTTTTCTGAACACACAATATATACTTATTTTTCTCTCTTTTTTTAATAAAATATTCAATAAATGAAGAGAATTGTTTCAAGTAATTAATGGGGGTTGGACATTCATGTTCAACTTATTTTATTTTCTTTCATTTTTTTAAATTTACGGTAACGTAATATATAAAATATAAATTTTGTAGGAAAATGAATACAAATGACGTGGTATTTGACATAGGAAACTGCGAAAAAGTGAAAGGTAAAATACAAAAGTGGATTCTACTACGATGGAGCCGTTATGATACTATTTGTGTCTTAATTTCGCGAAAATCCTTTGTATGGTACATCATTAGTATCTCTCTTATCTTTTTTAATAATTTAATTATAATCGGTTGTGCATTTATATTACACATAATATTTTATTTATCACAAAGTCAATCCCATTAACGAGTTTTTAAAAACTTAATATTTTATTAAAATTTACATTAATAATATCGAATATTATTTTTTTTTTTAACAAAATTGTTCATTTTTAAGCTTCAAAACATTAATTAACATTATTTTTATTAAATTATTCCTATAATCACCTTTACCTTCATATCTTCAAAATAATAATAAAAAAAACTTCTGCATTCATAAAAAGGCGTTTAATATTACTAATTTTATAATGAATTTAATTTGATCAGACATATTCAACTTTTCTATCAAACATATGTTACAGTTTGATTAACTTTGTGTATGATATTACATTTCATAAATTTTAAAATATGAGTCATATTTTTTAAGATATTTTTGTCATAAAAATAATTTTATTAAATGACGCTGCATATTAAATGTAAGCATAATTCACCTATTTGTGAGAGATAAAAATTCCATTTATTTCAAAGTTTAGTAAAAAGGATACTAAATGTAATTGTTTTCTTAAGAAAAAATTAAACACATATCTATTATGAGAGACAAAAGATTCATTTATTTCGTGGAGGTTTGTTCTTCTGACGGTAGATGACAGATTTTTAATTTAAAATAAAAGATTATAATATTTTTAGCATACAAATCAAGATGAGTTCAATGAAAATGACTGTTTTTTTTTTTGGGAAATTGGTTGTCCACCGTGTACAAAAAGGCCCCTCAAAGTATAGTAAAATCAATTTTAAATTATTAAACATAATGTGCATATAATTAAATTTTAACAATAATATTTATAATAGAAATATGTTATAAATTGATAAAATATTTTTTTTAATGTATAAAAGAAGGGTAAGGACCCCATGATAAAAAGAAAAAAATGAATTTTATAATTTATCAGACAAATACTAAGTCATTTTACTAAACCCTATTCCACTTGAAAAATTAAACATCTAAAAATAATATTTATTATATTTTCATATTTTCAATATAAAAATAATTTTTTAATTAGTTAAAAATAGTCTGGAGTCAAAAGTAAACAATTTTTTTTATCTTAAAATGAATAAAAAATTTCTTGAAAACCCCAAAAGAAATAATTAAAAAAAATGCTAAAAACACGAGTCTCCTGGCTCCTAAAAAACCGCAACCCCAGCCGTTACCGTACGCCCTCACACACACGACACACTGATTTGCACTGTCTCACTCTTCTCCTTCTCCATCAGCACACCACCACCTTCAATTTCACACACACACTCAAAAATTGAACCCTTTCTTCCCCAACTTCTAGGGTTAGGGTTTCCACATTATCATGTGAAACCCTACAATCTCTTCTCTCCATTTCCAAACCCTCCTTCACGATCCACCCTTCCCTCCTCCGATGGGCAATTGCTGCAGATCTCCGGCCGCCGTCGCCCGCGAGGACGTCAAATCCACCTACTCCAACAACGATCACGCAAAGCGCGCCGCCGACACCGCCGGCGGCAAACACAAAGCTCCGATCACGGTGCTCGCCGGCGTGCCCAAAGAGAACATTGAAGACCGCTACCTCGTCGACCGTGAACTCGGTCGTGGAGAGTTCGGCGTCACTTATCTCTGCATAGACCGCGACACACGAGAGCTTTTGGCCTGCAAGAGCATCTCCAAACGGAAGCTCAGGACCGCCGTCGACGTCGAGGATGTGCGCCGCGAAGTTGCTATCATGCGCCACCTTCCGAAGAGCCCTAGCATCGTGTCGTTGAGGGAAGCGTGCGAAGACGACAATGCCGTTCACCTCGTCATGGAGCTCTGTGAGGGCGGTGAGCTCTTCGACCGGATCGTCGCGCGTGGACACTACACGGAGCGCGCCGCGGCTGCAGTTACGCGAACCATCGTCGAGGTCGTGCAGCTCTGCCACAAGCACGGTGTTATTCACCGTGACCTTAAGCCGGAGAATTTCTTGTTCGCTAACAAGAAGGAGAATTCGCCTCTTAAGGCTATTGATTTTGGACTCTCCATATTTTTCAAGCCAGGTCAGAAATTTGTTGTAACTTAATAAAAAATGGTTAATTGTTTAGTGGTTGTGTTGTGTGATTTTACTCTTTGATTGTGCTGCTTGTGTTTGGGATGGGTTTGATGGGTAACTACTGACTCTAGCATACTCGATAGGGTTAAAAATTTCCTATCAACGGTTTGCGTCTGATGCATAAAAGGAAAAGTAAGAGTGTTGTTGTGAAATGAAATGGATATGGAGTCTGGGTTTGATCTGGGTATTGTTTGATAATGAAGGATCAGCAAACCCTAAACTTTGCTTGTCTGTAATACCTATTGGCAAATGTAGTATCATCTCTGGTCTTTGTTGCAACTGTATTAGGAATTGGTACGCTTAGTTTAGATTACCAATAATAAAAATAGCAATAATGTGGTATTTTCCTGGCGCCATTGTATGGTTCTGTATAAGCAACGGGTAGTGTTTTGCTTCTGTTTTGATGATTACTGTTTGAATATATTTTAAGGTCATCGGTAGAGGACTTGGGCTTATACTAGAAGGACTAGTTGTTGTCATTATTAGTAGTATATAGGTGCAATAGGTTATTGTATTAGGGTAATAATACATCACATTCTATCAATAATATTCAAGGTTATTAGTTAGCTCTCTTTCTCTTGTTTACTTTTTCTAAACTTGGTATTAGAACAGTATCATCCACCATGAGGAGAGTCTTCTTTTGCTGGTGTTGAGTTCATCAAAGTACAGCCCCTTTTGAAGTGTCTATGGGCTGAATCTGTTCTCTAGTCAAAGCACGGCCACTTTTGGTGTCTCTCTTCTACTGCTACAGATTAGGTTGGGCTGATGAAGCTATCTGTGGGGCTTGGGTGATTCATGTCTGTTCTGTCAGCTGCTAGTGTTTCTAGTTTCATTGATAATTGATGGCTCTCCCCTGTGACCTTTGGGTAAGATATTGGTCTACCCTGTGCAGAATAGCTAGTTGACACCCTTTTTTTTGTGGTGTCTGTGGCACGGTGGATGGCTGGAGTTGCCATGGTGAGGAGTGAGTAGGACTTGTGACTGGCCTTGTGTTTGTTCAGAATACTTGGTTGTTGAATTGCAGTTTTGGCCTATTTGGCATGTTTGATTGTTCTTTGTTTAATTCTTTCGCCGTTTGGTGTCTGTTCTTTGCATTGCCTGTTTGCATTGAACTATACTGTTTGAGAGTTTGGAGTAACTTTGTGTAGTCTAGCTTGTAAAGTGTTTGTGGTTTGAAGACTTTGTACCATATCCATGGTAGTCAAAATCGAGCTTGATGAGAGAGGGAGTCAAAGATTGTAACATGGATTGTAAGATCCTATAAAAATTGTATGTATGCATATAAAATAGTATAAATATGAAGATGAGGGAAGAAAAAGAGAGACAGATGAGGGAAGGGAGCCACCCTCAAAACATGGACAGAGATGGATATGTGAGAAGGCCAGAAGGGAGCATCTAACAGAGAAGGAGAGAAGAAAAATGGGTTAGGTGATGTATTCTGATAAGACTATTTTATCCTTTAAAAAACTTAATACATGGTCATTTTAAAGGAAAAAAAAGGAAAAGTTAGTTTATTTTTAAAAGAGAGAAAGTCTTTTTTACCCCTAAAAAATGCTAAAAACTGCTTTGTTCTGGGGTTAGAAAAGGAAAGTTGACATTTTTACTGGAACTGTTGCGACATGCGGGGACAGAACCCACCCAGAGTAGCAGAAGATGAAGAATAAAAACAGAGAAGACAATAGAACAGTAAACCCAAAACTGAAAAGAGGTCGTGTAACAGACTAGAGGTATGGCAGCAGAACAGAGATTGCGCAGCAGAGCAGAGCAGAGTCACCAGAGCAAAATGGGGTTGTCTTGTGAAGTCAAATGAAATCACAGAGCAGAGGAAACCAAGAGGGCTAAATTGATTTTAGAGTTTCAATAGGTTTTTAGCAAACCGGGTCACAAAATGAATTGTGGTTCATTTGGTAAAATTTCAAAGTTTTTAAACATGGTGGGATCTACCGGGCTTAATGATTTTACTATTCTGCATGTCAATCCCACCTGACTCACTGTTTTTCAATCCTGCAACCGAGCTAGCATAGAGACAGTGATGAAGATAGTAAAATTGTGCAGTTTTACGAGTCAGCACACAATTTTGACTGCCATGACCATATTAAAGGACATGCCCTACTTCTACACCCCAACCTCTGCCAAATTGTGCAACTGAGGGAGGTGTGCTACCCAACTCATTGTTTTGGAGATCAATTGGGAGGTAGAGAAAGCTGCTGAGGAGAAAGGCCAAAGACTCCAAGAACTATCTCATTTGCTTGGGATGTGTGCCAAGGAGATGCTCAGAGCTTTCTGTCTATGACACTGCCATTATTTGTGATTTTGTGTGTGTGTGTGTGTGTTACGGACAAGTAGCAACAGCAATCTTCGGTCCTCATCACTTACAAGAGGCGCAGCAAATAGAATTGGAATTTATTATGTATTAATTAGTTGTTTTCAGTTATAGTTGTGTCAGTTATATGTTTGAATTAGTATTACGGTGTATGCTATTAGTAAGGAGACAGTTTCTAAGCAGTTATTTTATTTCTAAACCCACTTAAGGATCTAGTAATGGGTCTATTTGCAGAAGAGTTGATGTCTGGGTTTGTTGTTAAAACTGATTTTTTGGATTTCCTTCCTTGTTTTCCTATTGTAGAAAATGTTTAAGGGCTCGTTAGAGAGAACCCTTTGATCTCATGCACTTAATTTTTGTGAAGAAAAAACCAACCCCTCCTTCATTTTCTCAATTCTTTAAATATTCAAACTTACATCAGAAATAAAATAACTGCTTAGAAACTGTCTCCTTACTAATAGCACACACCGTAATACTAATTCAAACATATAACTGAAAACAACGAATTAATTCATAATAAATTCCAATCCTATTTGCTGCGCCTCTTGTAAGTGATGACGACCGTAGATTGTTGTTGTTACTTGTCCGTAACAGTGTGTGTGTTGGGGGGGGGGGGGAGTTACTAGTTAACTATTTTCGTTGTGGAGGTGTGTTGCAGTTTTTATTGTTTAGTTTGTTACTTGTTTCAGGCTTGATGCTTCTTAAGCCTGTTACTTGGGGAATATGTCAGGGTTATTAGTATGGGCTTGAACTTCTGCTAGTTGGACTGGTGCTTTACCTAATTAGTAGTATAAATAGATGCATTGGGTTATTGTTTTACTTTACTGTAAGTATGTAACACATTATGTCCTGTCAATAATATCCACTGTTATTATGGTAAGCCTTCTCTCCCTATCTTTCTTCTTCTCTAGCCCTAAACCTATAATTCTTAAAAGTTTTAAATTGATTAAAAGCATTTAGTACAAATCCATATGGCATACTTGTCTCATTCTGCATTAGCTATATGTCACTTTAAGAAACATTTTATTATGAGTTTTAGGATGCTGCTATTGCAACTGGAAGAAAAAGTACTGGCTCATGTTGCGGTTCAGTTACTAAGGAAAGAAAAATGCTTTCTTACCTTTGTTCCATAAACACTAGAGATCAGCAATGACAATTGGGTAAATAAAGGATTTCATTAATTTCAGTTTCAGAATGAAAGCAATCTGTCTCTTGCAATTATCCTTTTTCTCTGCAGCAAGAAATTTCTCTTCCACTAATAAGAGGACCAGACCATTCCATGCTTCCTCCATTTCCCTTTTTTTTTTCCAAACAGAATCTCTACTCAAAGCTTTTCTTCGGAGATTTGTGCAACCACCCCACTCATTGTCAGAGTACCTTTTTGAGCTTTATGTAAATGGTGATTAATGTAGGAATGTCAATCTTGTATGAATTTATGTAGCGCTGCTCCCTTTTTCTCACTCTTGTAGATTCATCAACAAAAGATGGGGAGAGGGCTTTATCGTCCCATTTTCATATTTCCCAAATAAGTGGAATTATGTTCTCTGATTTGTTAAAGGGTTTGTATGAAATTTTTGAAAGATTTCTTTGACATAAGTTAAAATAATGCTAATGTCTATGACAATAAATGGATTTTTATGGTTTTGGTTGTTTCCAAACTTGTTTTTTAGAGCACAGATTCTTTTAAGTGAATGGTACACTTTACAGGGTAAAGTGAAGTGTTAGCTGCTGGAAGGAAAACAAGAAATAGTAATAAATTGCATACACATGTATTAACAAATCATTAAAACTATGAAATCTAAGCTTTGAATTTCCAATGAGTGGTTGTAGCTTGGTTTTATCCTTAGCACTTCACTCCTCACTTAAGAGGCTCAAATCCTTTTTCTTAAAAAAAGGATTAATATATGTTATTTACACAAGTCCTCAATCATATTTCTTCTGCACTTTTGTTTTAAAATTTGTTTCAAAATTGTGTTACAAACTATAAAAGCAGATGGATATAATAGACTGTTGCAGCCCTGTTTTCATCATTTTCCTTTTGCTGAAGTTTGAAAACAGGAAACAAAATGATACTGAGGTGGCATTTTTATAATTGTAATGGGGACATGTTAATTGAAAATGAAAACAGAAAACAAACTGAGCACCATCTAAAGTAAGCCGGCTTGCTTTCTTGGGAAATGCAACCTGTCTGCTTACCCCAGTACTATTGACATTAATCTTAAGGTTAAGCATATACCATCCCTTGTAGATAGTTTTCCATTTGATTTATGGCTTGTCTTCTGTGTTTGAAGACTATATTTCAATCTTTTTCAGTGATTACTGTGTCTGACTTATTTTCCATATTGTTGTGTTTTGGCTAATTTTATAAAAATTTCCAGGTGAGAGGTTCTCAGAAATTGTTGGAAGCCCATATTATATGGCTCCGGAGGTGCTCAAGCGGAATTACGGACCAGAAATAGATATATGGAGTGCAGGAGTAATTCTCTATATCTTATTGTGTGGCGTTCCCCCTTTTTGGGCTGGTAATTACATACATAAATCCCTAAATATCCTTATGATGCACTTTTTGCATACCGATGTTTTGATATGTACATATATATGAACTTTCATGTGTACTCTGTTTTCTGTACTAATTCTTGCATGCTTGTATTTTTCGTTCTTTTTCTTTTGGTTTGAGGCTGACTCATACTAGTGCTTGTAGGCAAGGTTTTCATCTGACTAGTTTTCCCTTTTTTTCTAATTCATGTATATCATGAGTTTTGTGATTTCAAGATTGTGTATTATTACTCCATGGTCATAGGAAGTCTTTATTATCTCACCTTGATATTGATTCTAATGCAGAATCTGAGCAAGGAGTTGCACAGGCCATTCTTCGAGGGCTTATAGATTTCAAACGGGAACCTTGGCCCAGTATATCTGAAAGTGCTAAAAGTCTTGTTAGGCAAATGTTAGAACCAGACCCTAAGCTTCGGTTAACTGCCAAACAAGTTCTTGGTATGCTTTTCTCCTTCAATGTTCATTTATATTACTCTAAGGGGCTTTTTGAAATCTTGATTTAATGCTGAAAGTTTCAGCACTGAAATTATTTCTTATTGCTTGTTTTATGTCTTCTGAAGAGAATCAAGTGAAAGAAGTGCTGAAAACTGTCTTCGTTTGGGTTTTAATCACTAAATTATCTTCTTTATTTGGTGGGCTGCATTGATGATTTTTTTCTTTGAATTTTATATTTTTAAATCCTGGAAATCCTTTTTCCTTTGTAACTTTAATTTCTTGAACAGAAGCTTCAAAAGTGAAATGAAGTTTGATGTTTGAAGGAGATAGGATTATGTGTGTCCATATTTTAACAAGTTGTTCTTAGTGATTTTTATTAGATTTAGTCATTACTTGTGATAATTATGTTTATGACTTGTCAGAATGAATCATGAGGTTCGTCATATTTTTGTTGCCTTGTAGAGCATCCCTGGCTTCAAAATGCTAAGAAGGCTCCTAATGTTCCTCTTGGAGATGTTGTCAAGTCAAGGCTTAAGCAATTTTCAATGATGAACAGATTCAAAAGAAAAGCACTGAGGGTTAGTTCACTGCATCACTGGTGATAAGCAGCTAGTGCTTTTATAGTATGCCAGCTAAAATTGTACATTTGAAAACAGGTTATTGCAGATTTCTTGTCCAATGAAGAAGTTGAAGACATCAAAGATATGTTCAAGAAGATGGATATTGATAATGATGGTATTGTTTCCATTGAAGAACTAAAAGCTGGATTTCGAAACTTTGGTTCCCAACTTGCTGAGTCTGAAGTTCAGATGCTTATTGAAGCTGTGAGTATGATTAACTTTGCCTTGTTTCTCTAAATTATAGTTTCTTAACTAGACAGTTGCCACTTGCAACATCCCATGCTGCATTGTTTATTGGTCAACCAAAAACTGACATTGTTGATGTATTTATCTTTTTGGGTGCAATAATTATAATATATTTTCTATTTATCATTTTGATTGGGCTTGTTCAGTTACATCATTTTAAAATCAGTGCCTGTTTTTTGGTTTATCACATTGTTGATTTTTATTTTCATTTCCTATGCAATGTTTTCACTTGATTTTTTAAACCATAGTGTGAATGGTACTAAAAGTTAAATATTTTAGCTTCAAATTGTTGCCTTGTCTTCTAATCATTTTTGTCGGCAACAGGTAGACAACAATGGTAAGGGAACACTAGACTACGGAGAATTTGTTGCTGTTTCCCTTCATTTAAAAAGGATGGCTAATGATGAGCATCTTCGCAAGGCCTTTTCCTATTTTGACAAGGATGGGAATGGATATATTGAACCAGATGAGCTACGGAATGCCTTGATGGAAGATGGAACAGATGACTGTACAGATGTGGCAAATGATATTTTCCAAGAAGTAGACACGGACAAGGTGAATATCCGAGTTTTTTTTTTCTTTATTGTCTTGATTAGGGAATCTTACTCTCCAAAATTCTTGCACACTTACAGGATGGACGTATCAGCTATGATGAATTTGTTGCTATGATGAAAACTGGAACAGATTGGAGAAAAGCTTCTAGGCATTACTCACGTGGGAGATTCAATAGCTTGAGCTTAAAGTTGATGAAAGACGGTTCTTTAAACTTAGGAAATGAGTAGTTGTCTGTGTTTGCCTATATTCGATCTGTCTTTCCAAATAGTGTAATATTCCTCCTACATTCTGGATTTGGCTTCTTTGTGATGATTATTTGGTTCCTTGTTGGATGGGGTCCTTTTCACCTGGTGCTGTGCGAGTCACAACGGAATGGGTACGCCAAATTATACATGCACTTTGTTACTTGTGTAAAACCTGGTGCCTTGGAGCCAATGGTGTGACATGTATGATTCCACTCGTTTAACCACTCCTGCCTTCTCTTCTGGTTTGACAATGTTGAATCAAAACTGTTTAGTGCAGTCAGAATATGTTTATCAAAGTGCGAATATCTTCTAATTTGTATTCTGGACTTTTGGTCATTCTATTCTACCCACCACTGCTCCTGATATTCGCCATAAAACAGTTTTCTCCATTGTATCTAATGCCTGCTTACTCTGGGATGCTGACATTTTTGCTTGTCCAGTATCACAGTCCTGTAAGACACGGTTATTAAACACGGAACCAGTGCTATTGGTGAATTTATGGGTACATGTTGGCTACTTAATTTTGAGAACTAGCAAGTACTAAGGGGGAGGCAGGTCCATTGTATCCTAAGACTTACACTGAATGCTACTGGAAAGGTATCACATTCAAAATATTAAAAAAGATGTAAGGTGTAAAGCATGCTTTATCAATGCAACACTGATGCGTGTCATTGAAGTCTTCCCATGGCTAGTGATTAGGGCTAGCCTTGAATAGGAGCTGGAAATGGATTATCAAAAGATTTGATTCGTGGACCTTCAGATTTTCAGGTGTTTAATCCATGACAACGATATATTGTAATGGGCTTAAAAGGTTTTAACTTTAATATAAAAATATTGTTTTTTACAAGCACGATCTAGTTTTTTTTATTTTTTATTTTCCTCTATGCGCATATGCAGTTTTAAGCTTGTCATTAGGCATGCTGATACTCAATTAACACCCTTGCAAAAATAATTTAATGTATCATGCTAATTTATTTCATCAAAGTAATCTATACTGATAATTAATTTTACTATTGACAAATAGCAAAGGTGGGGATGATAGCCAGAAATACGCTTGACAAATTGGTAATGATACGTGTTTTTGTCAAATGGTTGGTAAAATGGTTGATCGTTGAGGGCTATTAATAAACGGCCTATGTTAATGCTTCTTGTCAACACAACAAATGTGTTTCCAACAAACATGAGACAGTCACTGCAGCAGATGGGTTTGCCAAAAATGGTGTATTAATTGACAGAGGACTTATGTGCCAACTTTCAAACATTCAGTTTAGCTTTGTTTGTGGGTTGGGCTATTGAAATCATTTCATTCCTTTTTCATTTTGACAAATTGATGCATTGAACTGGATTTATACTGGATGAATTGGTTGGATCACAGAGATTTATTTTACTAAGTGTATTTGTAGTTATTTTATTTATTAAAATTTTATTAGAACTTTTATCATTGTTTTATTATTTATATGATTTTAATGGTTTCTTTTATGTTTGTTTAGATGTCCTAGAACTTAGGAATTTAATAGTTTGAATGTCTAAGTGATCCAATGCTTTATACTAGCAGTTGTGGCATTTTGGCACTTCCATTTCAGATGCATAAAAGAAATTTAACTATTCTAGTATGATAGGGTCTTTGTTGACACTCATCAGTACATTTGGCAAAGATGAGAACAACAGATTTTTCATAGAGCTAAGCAAGGAGACATCCAAGCTGAGTTTTAAATTTATTATATCTTTCTATTTTTATTTTTGTTAGAGATAGACTGAATATCCTGAATTCTGGTTCCTTGTTTTGATCATAACTCTCAATTTCATTTTATCATTGCTTCAAATATGTGCTTATTACACAGTAAATTTTATAATTTGTGAGCACATTTTTTTTATTATATTCTCATTTTAGAAATTGGAATGTATGCTTGTTGATTGGACTGAACAGCTCAACTGTTGCATCCTAGGACTAAGAGTTGAATGAGTTTCTAGAGTATTTACTTGTTCTCTTACTACAATTTATCTATTGAACAATTGATAAATCGATATGTAAGATTTTAGTCTCTTTAAATAACAAGATTAAATTTGGTTTCAGTCTTCAAAATTTATTTATTTTAGTCTTTATAAATTTTGAAAATAGTTCATATTGACTATCTAATATGAATTGATATGCATCACATTATCATTAAATGTTGATAGAGATTTATTTAAAAAGAAATTATAATTTATGTGAATTAAAACTAAAACAAAACTTTGGAGAACTTGGTCATATTTATAGAACCTAAGCCACATTTAAGTCATTAGACCAATAAAATATAATAGGCCTAAAAACAAATATATTAACCATCAACGCAATAAAATTCTAAATTATTAATTGGGAATTTTTTTAATCAGTGTTTTAAAAGACACTCCCTGAAAAATTAAAAAAATTAAAAAAAATAAATTCACGTTAAAAATAATAGTTGCCGTATATTTATATAATAGTATTTTTTATAATCCTTATAAATTCTTAAATCAATATCTACTATGAATTAATTAGTAGTGATAAGAAATATTCTTTTAAACTAAATCCTTCCCACTTCCTTTTATATTTTTATATTTTTGAGGAACAAAATGTGACTAACGTGGTTACTTAATTATTGTCGGCACACGCGTTATTTGGCCACACTATCTTTATACTCTTTAAGTTGATCCTCCTCATCTTAATGGGATGTAAACTACCACATAAATTATGCGAAGTTAAAAGTAAACACCCTTTTAATCTCCATCAAAATCAAACCATTTTGTGGCTTCAAATCACACATTCTCTTACATTACTGAATCGATGCTAATATGACTTTGACTTGCAAAAAGCACCAAACAGTTTTTGCATGTGATTAACACAGACAAAACACTCCTAGTCTAAAAAGCCACTTTTGTGTTTTACCAGGTTTTCGAAGACTTGCTGAGATTTTAAGCTCCACTGAGTCAACAACTTTATATATAATTTAAATTTATTCAAACATATCATATTTTCTATAATTATTCTCATGTTAACAATAAGCTAATGTAAAATATATTGAATTCTTATAAATGTATTTGTTAAATACTTCTTCCAGTCTTTTTATAAGAAATAAAATGAATCATTTTTTTGTCCTTATTATAAAAAATAAATAATAGATTTAAGATATATTAATTATTAAAAAAATTTATATTTTTCTTTTATTAGTATCATTAAATATACAAATTAATAACTACAATATACAATATTTAATATCATATGTACTTTTAGAATAAAATTTATATTTATAAAAAATATAATTGGTTTAATTACTTTCTTTAGTTTTGTAATTTAGTCTTTTATTTCTTATAAAAAAGACTTAGAAATGGTATTAAGGGAAAGAATTTGATGATAATCTTACTTAATTCGAATAAGATTGATTCTAAAAAGATAACTATAAAATAGGGAGAAAAAAAAAAGGACAACTTAGACACATAAAAATCCTTTTGTAAACTGTTGATGGAAGATATCACGCCACATATTTTGGCACATTAGAATTGTGAGCATTTAAGAAAAGGAGAAAGAGAAGAGTCCCAAAAGGGATACCAATTTCTAACACTGACTTCAAACAAAATCATTGGTCTCTCACAGAACACTTTCTCCTGACTTTTAACATTTTTAACATACAATCCTCGTTACGTTTTGTCGGCAGCACAGTTATAAAAGGCTTGGTTGATTTAGTGGCTTTAGATTGAAGAACAGAACAATTAATGAAAGAAAAAGTGATTGATTTTATACCAATTGAATACATACCAAGGACGTCGCATTTAATTTCACTATTGAAAATAAATTCGATTTCATCTCGATTGATGAATAAATTCAGTATACATGAAATCACAAGTTAGGATTATCACAATTATAAAATATATGTTAGAGATCAAAATCAAAACTATAAAGAAGATATGAACATTTAATTCGAAATTTTAGTTTAAAATTTTAGAAAAGGAGAAGTTAAAAACACCTCTATCAATCATTATTTAAAGGAGAGTATACTAATTTACTTTTCATAGATAAAGTGATTCTCAAGATATTTTATTCTAATTTATATAATGTATAAAGACTTTATTTAATAAATCCAGTTGAAAGTTATAAATTCGTAATTTATAATTATAAAACTAGCTGAAACTTTTCATCTTATAGTTGAAAGTTTATATTAATATAATATTATAATTAGATATAACTTATTTTATTTATATACTATTAATTAATTAATTAATTATGTAAAAATAATTTAATATATATTTTGAACATGAAATAATTTAAGTTATATATTTTTTTAATATAAAATATATTTGAGTAAAAGAGAAAAAATAAGTAAAAAATTTTAAAAAAAAAACTATAATACAAGTAAAGAGAACAAAAATATAATGAAATTAACGTATGTTTGTGTGAAGAGTTAGTTGTCATTTTAAAAAATAATGAAAAGTAAAAGTATAATAAAAATATTAGTAATTAATTTTTTTATAATTAAATAATTTTTAATTAAATTTTAAAAAATTAGCTTTCAAAAATTACAAGTTTGTTTTATTTTTTATTTATCAAATAATTTTATAAATTTATTGACTAAGTCAATAAATTACAAGCTCCTAAACAAGTTACATTTACTAAACATATCTTAAAGCTCTTTCACTAAAATTGTCACATGATTTTTTCTTTAATTTTTATTTATTTCATCTACATTTTTTTTAAAAGATTTTGTAATCTCAAGTTTTTCAATGTATTTTTTTACATTTTTTTTAAGTTTTATTAAAAATATGGCGTTAAGAAATACAATAATTTGAATAATTTAAAAAAAAATATTTTACTTTACATATCTTAAATAGTAAAAATACAAATTAATATAATACCCATTTTATATCAACATAAGTTGGTTGAAGTGATATAAGTAGTTTGAACAAAAATGACATTCATTTAGTATTTCTTTTATTTAGATATAAAATTTCTCTGTGAATAATATTAGTAAATTAATTTAAAATAGTTTCAACCAGCTTTATGATAACTATACCAAAATTAAATATTAATTAAATTTGATTGTCTATAATTATATTTTAAGTTTTACATTATTTTCGTAGCTAAGAATGAACAAGTAAATTTTGTAGAATTTATTATGTAATTGATTATTTTAATTCAATTGATTATAGAATACTATATTCATTAGGGGGATGTTACATTTACAACCCCCTGTTGTAACTTAATTACTATGGATTAATGTTATGGGTTTATATTCATGATATGATAAATTATATTAAAAGTTGGATTTTCAGTGACATTTTTTATATTAATAAAATTTTCAATTAATATTGTGCATTATGATGTTGGTAAAAATTTATGATATTTATATTAGTAATTTTGTTTTTATTAGGCAAAATTATATTAACAGAGACGAATCTAGTATCTAAGTTTTAGTATATATCAATTATTTTATGTAATTAAGCTTAATCAAATTTGTGCTTTATCAACTTTATTTTTTCTACACTATAAAAAGAGAAAATATTTATTAATAGTTTGACGTTAAACTTTCCTCCGTTGATCTACTTTTTTATTTAATAAAATTAAATTATTAGTATAAATATTATGATTTATATTAATGTTATTATATGCTATACAAGAGTTTGTTAAAAAGTGTTCTAAAATTATTTATTAATTTTTTTAAAATCGTATATTTTTATTAAAAAATCACGTTGAGATCGAACACTTAGTTATCAATTTTTTTTTATGTAAATAGATAATTTTATTGGTATAAAATCAATTCATATTATTAGCGTACACATTATATTGTTAATATAATAAATTATAGTTTTAGTGTTGACTAATAATATTTAT